ATTGCTGAGACGACGATTTTAGTTAGACCAGAAATTACGCAAATTGATGTAACCTATAGATATTTAAAAACATGCTTTTGGATTTCATAACGTTGTATTGTGTTTCTAACAAGTACTCCAGAACCGCCACATGCTTTACTATCTGGATATTTAGTATCATAAAACTTATATCCATAAACTCGAAAACAGTTTTTGAAGGTTAAATGTGTTTCGGATATAAGCAGTATATCGATGTTGTTACTCACCAGAAATATAGATACTTCCAGTACATGTTGGCTTAAGCCGTTTGCATTCTTTCGAAATCAGTAGCGTATCTTCTTTAAATTGTATATCTATAGGTAATATGTTCTATTTTCTAGCAGATAATATTATTGGTTTATATTGAATAGGTATTATTATTTGTTGCCTATTAATCGTGATTGTGAAAGAAAAGGTGTAATGTCTATATTACAAAAGTATTTCGTTAAGAAGTCTCTTCCAATTATACCGTCAAGGTCGATAGGGAAATCTTCTTCCATTACAGAAAATTCATGTTTTACTAATTGTCCTTCAAAATCCATTTCTATTGTCGAGATGCCTAAAGATGACTTATAATTATCTGTTATACCTATTAATTTACATGTAGTTTTGGGGTCGTACATCAAGTTAAATTTGTATTTTATTATGGAGACATCTGCTCCAGTATCAATAAGTAGATTCACATGGGTATTTAAGTCAATACAGAAGATGTTTATGTAATTGGAGATATTTTTATTTAGGTTATAAATTTTCTTTTTCTTTATACCAGAGGGGAATTCTCCATGTTTCCCTCCGGTCGCCTGCAGTTTTCCTGCATGGCTGCCACGTTTATCCGTCTAAAATTTGTATTTGAGTTCCTCTGACCATTATTGACCCTCATGTTGTAGACTCTATAATGGCTGCCGCGATTGTTTCTCTGTTGATTACGGCTGTAACCATTATTATTACTTCTAGGGTAATTGTTGTATCTTCGGTTGTTTGAGCCTGCATCTCTATTACCGTATGACCTATTATTGACTCGATATTGGGGTCTTTCATCATGCTGTGAACGTCGTAGAATCAAGTTTTCGGCAAACGTCCTAGCTTCCTCAAATGTTTTAGGTTGAGCAGCTTGTACTGTTTGAGAGTACTGTGCATTTAAACCTTTTTTATATGCTAAAAATGCATGTTTCTCATTGCATTTCATAATTATCTCCCCTTCCAAAGAGTTTTTATTTATATTTTTCTTTAACAAGGTTGCTGTATTAAAATTAGCCAGCAAGTTAGACATTGCTTTCATTTGGGTTTTACCACCTCAGCAATTAAACTTTGGTTCTGTATCATGCTTTGCATCAAGCTATTCATCATATTTTGCACACTGTCTTTGGGCAACGTTTAATTTTTGTCTTAGGGCAGCGAAAACTGGACATCCTCTGTAGTTTGCTGTGTGGCTATCACCGCAGTTTGAACATTTTCTAACAGCTGGGTTTTCTTTGCTTTCAGGACATTTATCTGAGCTATGGATGTTGGCACAAATAACACAAACCTTGGCAAGTTTACAGTATGACTTAGTGTGTCTTTATTCCTGACAGTTGAAGCACTGTACTGGTAAACTACGTTTGCGTGGCTCCTCAATAGTATTTTTCTGTTTAAAAGAAAGCGAAGGAAATAAATAGGATGGACTTCACCACTTTTCAACTTGTTTCTGACTAGATACAGTTCAACTTTGTAGATTGGTTGCGATTTGCGGTCTCTATTTAAGATATTAGATACACTTTTTGCATCGAAATATTTTTTTTATGATATTTATAATATCAACTGCAGCCTCTATGCCTTTTATGACCACTATTAATCCTTTACTCCTTTTCAATTGATAGGTATAGAATTGTTTCAAGTTTTTCTCTAATTCAGCAATTACTTTTCGAAAATGATCTTCACTTGAAACTTGTACCTTGGTTTCATTAATCATGCCCTTTTTAATAGGTACAACAAAGAAATTTTTTTTACCTATTAAATTTGATAGTGAATTAACTAAATCACTAGAGTTTTTTTCTCTTAGATAGATAGGCGGTGCTTTAATGATTTTTTCTTTAATTTCTTCTACGTTGTCACTTTCATCACTCAATGGTTTAAATCTGTTGCTATAATTATTGTTGTTTATTTTTTAAATTTTGTCAGGATTGTTTGTGTTTTTTTATGAGCTAAGTTTTCGCTTAACTATTTGAGTATATCGTTCAATTCCTGTTTCTACTTTGATTGGTTTATTTGGAAGTTCATAACTATTCCCGGAATTAGGAGTTTTACATTAAACATTCCACAGCTGAGGTAATGAGATGGTACAGAAGTCAATGAATTTTGACATAATTTCGATTTTTGTTCCTGTTGCTGCAGAATTTGTAAAGTTTGCTTCTGTGTTTTATGTTGCTGCTCTTGCTGTTGTTGTATTACTTGCTCTTGATTAAGTTGTTGTTGGTATTCACCTTTCGGTGGAGTACGATCAACCGCCATTATAATGAATCAAAACGTTTACAAATAAAAAAATAAAATAAAATAAAAAATAAAAAGAAAAAAAAAATCTGTATATTTAATTAAATAGAATTATTTTATTCTAACAATAGTATTTACACAATTACACTTTGCAGTACTATTTTGTATTTGCTGTCTCTATCAGGTGTTTTATATATTTGTGTAAACAAAAACACAGAACTTACTAAGATATGCAAATCACTTTTTAAGGCGGTAAAAATAATTTAAATCCGATTGATTAATTAAGAATATAACTATTCAGTGTTTTATCAGTAAAGTAAAGAGTTTATTACAAGTTTTTATTAGCTTATTTAATAATTCGCCATTAAATGAAAGACTTTTTCCCGGTTATTACTTCAAAAACACGGACCGCATTAAAAGCACGACTTTTCAGCACCGAAGACATTAGAAGTACATAGCAATAATATAATCAAATCAAGATTAAATAATATATGATGTTTATTATCATTTTTGAAAAGAAAACAAACCTCATAAAAAAAGGGAGGTGGCATGTAGTGTATTCTAACAAATGTTAAATAAGTTATGTTAAATAAGTTGTATTAAATATGAGTTATGTTAAATAAGTTATGTTAAATAAGTCATGTTAAATAAGTTACGTTAAGCAGAATAAATCCATAATAACGTGACTAAAAGTCCTAAAAAATGTATATAAACAGAAGAAATTTCAATAAAGATCAGTTTAAATACAGAAATCGTGTTTGACTGATAGCCATATTTTGCTCTCTAAGCGAAAATTGCTAAAACAAGAATATATTGCTCCTTCAGCGAGAATTCTTTTTAGATGAATATTCTGCTCTCTAAGCGGAAATCCGAATACATCCAAAAGGTAAATTCCTAATATTATACTAGTCAAGGTGTAGAGAGGGGTTTCGATGAAACCTCGAGTTAAAAAAGAGTATAAGTGCTTAAGTGCACTAGCTTAAAACAGCTTCAACATAACAATTACTGAACAAAAAGATTTTCTTGAAATGATAATTTTTTGTAAATATTTCATTTTATAAATTGTAGTAGTGCTTGATCTACTCGAATCGGGATGCAATAAATGTAAACAACACATTACAGGGAAATATAGACCTTATAGTGGAATACTTCCAAAAATGGAAGATTAAAATTAATAATGACAAAACCTAGGCTATATTTATAACTCGGAAAAGAAGACAGCATCCTTCAAGAGTGAGCGTTTGTGACACGGAGCATTATTTTTTTCATTTTTTCGTTTCTTTTTGTTATTATATTTAACAAAAATTTAATTAATGTCGAATACCTTTTTTGACCGCTGTATGCGAAAGAGCAAGTTTCAAATATTGAAACGTAAATAAAAGTGAAAGAATCAAAACTTTTTTGTTATAATAATAGATTACTCGTTTTAGTGAGGGCCATGTTATGCAGTGTCTCGGGCACGGCATGAGTACAATAGTTGTTGTTTCCAATGCAAATTTTAAATTTAAGAATGAGTAAAAATAAAATATGGCCGTTCAAACTACGGCATGAGAGCCGGCGTATTTGTGCCCCGGCATTAAGGCAAAATAGTGTTGTTTAGTAATAAATTTCAAAATTTGCGCCTTTTGGGAGCAAATTACTACAATTCTAATACGTTCTGGAGAAAAAATGGCAGTAAGCAGCACAGCCTTTTTTTTATAAATCGCTAATAATATAATTATTACTTTTTCCAGTTTTAAAGAAAGGCGTATATACTGTTAAGTACTGTTAACAATTATTGTAAGATAATGTAATATAAATTATTATTAAATTAATTATTAAATTATTATTACAGCCTCTATGAGTTTTCTTTCTAGTTATTTTTGGTGGCAAATTGAAAGTGAGCATATCTAAATTTCCTTTTAATTTTAGGCACAACCAAAATGTATCAAAACATTTTGTCGTGCCCGAGACACTCTGCATAACATGGCCTAATCTGTCAACTTTTTAAAAATATTGCATATAGCATATTGCACGCTTTGAAATTTCAGACATAAATTTTTAAAAGTTCTATTATATTAAATTATAATATTAAATGGTATTGTGGAAAAATTATATAATTTAATGAATATTTATTTTAATGATCATACAAAATTAATTAATCGAATCGAAATAATATTCAGTAGGTAATATGTTTTGTTACAGTTTTGTCAAAAAGTTACAGTAATTATATAATTGAACAATATTCCGTAAGAAATATTTGTTTTGTTAATATTTTTTGACAAAAACAAATAACCGTAATGGATAATGTTTAAGGGTTATAGTTATTGTCAATTTATTTTTGAATAGTTTAGTTTTCAAGTATGACGCGCACGCTGTAGGTTTATTTAATTTAGTTTTAAAACGAAGCTTAATAAAAAAAATGTCATTGAGTTGCCCGGAGAAACCAAAAACACCTTTTTTTCGGTTACAAACATAATATACCATACTTATACACTTTTCACAACAAGACCTTATATATTATATGTGTTACTTACAGTTGTTTCAATTTAGTCATATGTTTGAATGAACCATTATATATATGAGTAATTAAGTTGTTCGATAATTTAAGCCGCTCAATATTTAATAAACTGTCCCCAAAGGTATCATTATTTATATCTTTTAAAAGATTAAAAGAAATGTCAAGCCGTGTTAATCCAGTCAAATTGCTTAATCGTTGTTTATCTATATGACTTATGGAATTTTTGCTTAGATCCCTATGGTAATAAAAATTTATTTATTTATTAGTTTTTTAATATATGTACGTACTTACAAGAATACTAATCTGGATATGTTACTTGATAATTGTATATCGTCCCAATTAGAAGCTCGACCGTCAATATTACATTTCATATGTATACTGTTTAAAACACTTTTGCAACGACATTTAGCAGTACAATTGAATCCATCAATAGATGAAAGTAGTAAATCAGAAATGCAGAAAAGCACAGCTAAGACTATTTCAATTTTTATCATTTCATTTAATATACCAGATTCAAATCACAAATATTTTATTGTTATACACATCATGATATTGTTACTGTAGCCTAAGAATGCACATCATAGAATAAAGCAGCTTAAAAATACATTTAATCTGTGCAGCAAATTCCTTGTAGGAACTTCGAGTAACTATGACTACATAAAAGTGCGTTTCACCGGCAAATTTCCAAGTAAAAGAGAGTGCATGAGACTCACATCTCTATGGAAATATCAAAACCAAGGAATACTTGCACAAGAATGGAAACAGGTCTCGGAAAGTCAAGTGGCATCACATATTACATATAAATGTTGGCTACAGAAAAGTTTTGATATATAACGGAAACTTTTTTATTTAAAAGAATAAACACAAAATTTTATTACGAAAATTTATTTTTTAACTTTTTTTGTGATATGTATTGAACAAGTTACTTTAGGCTGCGGTTATATTGCATACAAATTTTGTCTTCCGTGTCTGTAAGAATATTTGTTCGTGCGGACTTACCGCATATCACGGTTACATTACTTGTGAATTGACATTTCATCTTTGTTTGTCTTTAAAACAAAATGGATAGTGAAGATCAAAGAAGATAAAGAAAAGAAACTGAAACAATATTCAAAATTTTCAATAAGAATGTGAAAATATCACGCAGTACACAAACAAAAAGCCTAATATGGTGTTTACATTGGCTGAAAATGGCTCATTTTAAATGGGCCATTTGAAAGTCTTTACATTGGTTGTAGTTCATTCGTTCTCATTTCAAACAGCTGATTTTTCAACTTGCTTGTTGATTTAATTTTTGGCCTGTGCCAAAAAAAAATGTTGCATGAAGGTTATATATGCCTTCAAACCAAACAATAACTGCGTTTCAGCAAACATGATCCGCTCAATGATCTGAATCATCTTTGCTGAAGCGATACGGATCACGTTTGAAAATAATTGGCAACGCATGAAATATGACAGTTGGGTTTGTGTACAAAATGTTTTGATTTATGTGAATAATTTAGGCGCTAAAAAAATAAGTGAAAAAATATTGAATACAAAAAATCTAAAACTTGGAAAATAAATAAAATCTGTTGAAATGTCTGAAGTATGAAATGTAAGTTTTTATTTAGTATTTACTTAAAAACTTAAATTTAATTCTATAGTAAATAAATGGAAATTGCAGATTTTATTAGAATTATCGAGCAAAACTGACTCCTCCATTTTCTTTTTAAACACTAGTCCAAGTGTATTAAGCTCAAGGGATGAAGTGCATCAGCATGAATATAGTGGATATTTATGGAAACGATCAATAATTGTTCCGTTAAAGATTATTTGATTGGTATTTGCGCATAAAAACTACAATTGTTATATATTAATTATGTTTCATATTTTAATAGATTTGTTAATAAAATCCAATCAGCAAATACAAAATAACCGTGGTGGTCACAACTGAACGAGAGCAATGAAGGAAATTTACATATTTTTGTGGTTGTCTACCGAGTCGATTGGTAGGCAAATTTGATATTATGAAACTTGATAGACAAACATTTGCACTATTGTGAATGATGTAAGGGTTTTAGAGCGCCCAGCTTTAATTGAACTTTTTTTGTTTGTATTGTGTTCACTTTAAGCATGATATAGACCAAAGAATACCTTACAAGAACGGCAACTCCATTGTGAACTAAAATTTGTTTTTTCGCACAACAACAATTTGCCGTAGAGCCCTTGAAAGTGTTAGTGAAAAGTGCACTAACACCAGCTGAAATCACTTAAATTTTTCACCTTTTCACCTTTTTCCGATGCTTCGAGTACTTTTGAGAACGGAATATTTCAAAAAGTTTACCATGAAGAGTGTAAGAAAGAGTGTAGTTTTGTTTTTTGGTTTTGATTTTTTGAGAGTAATATAAAATTTCGTTGCGCCAAATCATACAAAATTTACTGCGCAAATATTTAACAAAAAGTAGTTAAAATTTTGCAAACACTTTAATAGCAGTTACCAAAAAGTAGGTATAGCACAATTTTTATACCAAAAATTAAAAAATATACGTCCATATGTTTGCTGTCAAAACTACAAAACAGACAGTATTTTAACTCTTTTTATAAGGGTACGCATGTATTTCCTGTTAAAATTTTTTAATAGGGTTCTAAATACACCTGACTATAAGCAAAAGCTCTTGCGTGTAACGCATTCATAAGCTTAGTTTTTCACATGATATTCAGTTGACTTTTACATATAAATTAAGTTTTTACTTTAATAATTTTTTGCTTTTAGTTTATGTATATTTAAATTTGCAATTAATTTTTAAAAGTATTGTAATTATTATTCTGTTAATTTTGTATTTGTAAAAATCTGTAAAAAATTATAACCAATATATAATAGTGGATATGCCTCTTGGGGAACCGACATATAAACTCGGTAACGCACCTTTATGCATACCTCTTGGGTGGTGTGGAAAATGCATACCAAATCTTGAACTTTGGTCGAATAAACTACATAGCTAAATAAACTAAATGTAGAAATAGGAAAATACAAGGAATGTAAAAAATTTGTTATAGTTCTTTTTTTAAATTTTCACACAATAATGATGAAAGAAAATTAATTTTCATTTAATTTCTATGCATATTTCTAATAAAACAGTTTAACGAAAGTATTTTACTATTTATTTTAAAATATTAGTAAGTGTACATTTTATGTTCACATTGAGATAAAAATATTTAAAACATAAACATAAGGCGCTACATGATAATAATCATATCCCAAATAAATTTATGTTTTTAAGGTCATTTAAATTCTGAAGAAAATATTCATATATTCTATACATAAACAACACAAAAAAAAATAAATATGTTTTTAATTTTTATATTATGTAAATATTTATAATATTCATAAAACAGATGAACTAAAAATGTATAGCATATATCTCGTTTAAATCTTGCATTAATTCTGGTAAATAATCAAGTCTATTTCATTTCATAACAATAATAAATTATGTAAACAACTTGTACTTCTTTTAATTAAACTTAGCTAATATTTTTAAATACTTTAGTATTTATATATAAATATATTTTATAATCATAATATAAAATTAAAATTTTTCAATATTAAAATTTAAAAATTGTTGAATTTTATATAAAAATATATCTTCATAAGAAAAACTCATAAATCCGACAATGAATGCGCATGCACCCACTCTTATCAATAGATTTTTCGCTACTGATCACACACTAATGTACGTAAATTAATAATAAGTATTATTCACCACATACATTTAGAGCGGATGCGCGCACATCCTCCCTTATCAACAGATTTATTGTTACTAATCAATTAGAAATGCATGCAAGGCAATGATACGTACCACACATTTAAAGGGAATGCGCGTACACCCTTCCTCATCAACATATTTTTTGGCACTAAATTTAAAAATTAAGTCTTCGCAGAGAAACACAATTTATCATGGATCACTTAAGTGCTGCCGTATAAAAAAGTGAATTGGTAGTAGCTTCAATCTTTGTTATTAATTTCACATCAAAACGGTATTTAATGCTATTATATCAAAATTGTTTTTGAAATAATGTTTTACAGGCTCAAAAAATATATAAGAAAATATAACTCACTAAATAAGAAATATTCAAAACTGTTTGTTTTTATTTAATTAAAAAATTTGCTTCTACAAAAGTTTGTTGCCGAACGTAATAAATTAAAATACTATAAAATTCATATGAAAATAGCAACAAAAATTAATTCACTGAATATATATTACATTATTAAACAAACTAAACTGATTCAAATTAATTGATTCAAATTATTATATATTAATTTATAAATTTATTTATCATATATTACTTGTTACAGTATATATTTTGTTTACGTAATGTAATATTATTAACCAAATAAGGAAGCATAAGTTTTTTATATTACTAAAAAGTTAACATATGATTAACAAGTAGCAGCAAACTATTATACTGCAACCCCAAAAAGAGAACAATTTGATGTTATCGTGGTAAGATCACATGTATTTAATACGTGTGCCGAAATGTTATAAAAAATAAGTTTTCAAAAACAATTTCAAATGCACTCTCACGAAGTGGGCGGAGTTTCCGTTCTTGTAAAGATATTCTTTGATATAGACGATGAAATTTGTTTGCAAACCAAATTTGCAAACCGAATATGCGCTTTGCTATACACTTTGAAACAAGGTTGGCAAACTTTATTTTTATTTATTTTCTACAGCGTTCATATCAACAGCGGAGTAAGTACAGAGTGCAAAACAATAATTGAAACTGAAGAAATTGAGGTGATGATCATAGCAACCTGTTATTTATTTCATTTTTTAAACTAAAATTATTTTTGTTTCAATTTTTTAATATGTTACATTTTAAAATTTTTATTCATATAATAATTGTTTAAATATTAAAGCTTACTATAAAAATGTTTTTAGCACAAAATAATTTTTAAAATATATAAACTTCTTCAATAATTGTCTAATGTCTAGCAATTTTTTAATTATTTTTCATTTATTTTTCTTTTTACTAAGAATTAATAATTTTTTTCTGTAATCTTTGCTTGTCCGACGCTCACCAAAATTCTTAAATTATGAGAAGTTTGCAAACTTCGATATACACAAGTAAACATGTTTGCAAACTTAACAAATAATTGAAAAATTTTAATTTCACTGCAAACTAGTTTGCAAACCAAATTTTGGTTTGCAAACTTGAGTATAGACGATGCAATTTGATAGCCAGCAAACCTTGTTTGCAAACAAATTTCATCGTCTATATCATGCTTAAGAAACATTAAAATTGAATTCAAATTCTTTTTAAAATAAAATAAAACCTTTTTCTTAATACGATATTATTATTTAATATTACATTACATTAATAAACTAAAGTAATATATTAAACTTAAACTTTAATATTCTAAAAATAAATATGTTTATATAAATATTAATTTTAATATTTTTATAATATGTAGTTATATTTACATTATATGTATATTACATTAAATTATATTAGTAATATTCATATCTTTTTTTAAGCAGTTGAAGCTTAAAGGACCGATATTTATATCTTTTGTCGGTGTTTTCCATAGCCAATTTTAATTCCATAGCCAATTTCTTGTATTACAGTAAGTTTTTGATCACAATACTCTTGCCTCCCTTCACTAAAATGTTTTCAATATTTTCTAGGCCCCTAGAAAGCTCAATCATAATTTTGTCCCACATTGGTCTGGAATGTGTCTTTTTGAAATGCCTTTCTTTTTTCCATATTTGCAACAATATTTTTTCCAATATTTGCAACAAGTTTTGCTATCTGCTTTTTATTGC